AGGACACAGACAAAGAGAGAAAATGTGTAAATACACACATTATTGTTCCTATTTCTTTTTTTTTTATTTATTTATTTATTTATTTATTTATTTATTTAATCATATTATTGTATTGTTCTATTTTATTCATTTATTCATTCATTCATTTTATTGTATTGTTCCTATTTCTTTTCCCTCTCTCCACAGCTGCATGAAGTAGAAGTAGAAACAAACATTATATGAAGATCTGCATAATTTATATAGCTCCAAGCCTCTAGCTTTTCTATGATTTTGGAGTTTTGTTTTGTTTTCACAGAGAAGTTATAGGTTAAAAAGAACATAGAGACACAGTGCAACCGCATTAACCTGTCCTAGAATCAAAAGTCTTAGAAAGAAAATAATGAAAGTGTGGCCAGGTATAGTAGCAGTTTATATAGTTATATATGGAGATGAGAAGGTGGAGAGAAGAAAGTATATCTTTCTCTTTCATATTGCTGTAACATTTAATGAAATTCCACATCAGCAGTTTTGGGACACATGAAATAAAGCATTTCTTCATACAATTAATTATTAATATTGTAATTCAATATTAATAATTACATAATTAATTTTAGGGAACTTGATGTGACAAGAGTGTATGAAATGCTGTACAGCACCAGCCTGAAGGCTCATTCTGATCCAGCCAGTATCTCTTGGGAAGTCCACCAAAGCAGGAGATAGGAGCAATAACAGTATCTTCTGCTTGCATTTCCCAGCAATTGAAAGTCAAAGAAATCATGTATGAAGTATATAGCCATTATGATTAGTTGTTTTATCTTCAAAGATTTGTCTACTGGCCATCATGGCAAAAAATACGCCACACCTTCAAAAGAGGAACAGACAAATCCATGTGCAGACGCACTGTACCTCTGAATACCAGATGCTGGAGATACCTTCTGCCATGACATCTTGCTGGTGAGTTTCTCAGAGATGTGTGGCTGGCCATCAGAATTCTGGACCAGGTACAACATCACCCTGGTTGATGGAACTTACATTCTGATGAGACTTCTAGCACCTGGCATCCCAACCCCTTATGGACTCACCTGAGGGAAGAGGGGTCTTTCTTCACGCCTGAATTTAAGGCAATCACTCATAAGCCTGTGCATGGCTTTGGGGCAATTGCTGGGCACCTTGCTAAGGTCGGGGGACAGATACCCCCGACCGACCATGAATATGATCTAGAAGAAGAGAGATGTACTGTTACTTTAGAAACAACATAGAGAAACTATGCAAAGCAGTTTCTGACATTCTTTCCAACCCTCCAATAATAGCTCCACTCTGGCTCACGTGACCAGGAGTGAGGGGAGCTTAGAATGGAGGAGTTGGCAGCATTCCATGCCATGGCCTAAGGCAATGTTGTCCAAACTTGG